CTAAGAGCGTTGTTATGATCTGGCCTTAGATTAAGAATAATTTAAGAGCACTATTGGATTAATATCTGAATTGAATAAAATGTGTTGATATGAACTGAATAATACCAAAACTGTGAATGTCTGAAATGAACATTGTGTGCATGATATCAGATGATTTGATTATGAATTTAGATTCAGTTTATATGGATGTTCGACGCATTAGATATGCTTACTCAGCTTTACCGCTGAGCGTGTAGTGTGTTTTATTTGCTACACGCAGGTAAGCAGAAAGTAGAATGTGATCCTGGCGGCAGATGGGGCGAGATTGTCGGGATGGATGTGACAAGTTTGAAATGATTTATGATATGTCAAAATTAAATTCGCTTCCGCAATATTGTTGAATACTCCGTACTGTATATGTTATGAAAAATTATTGGGATTAATAAAGTGTGTTTGAAAAGTTTTAAATTTTTATGATTACCAAGTTAATACTTTAGTCCGGAAGGGGCTGCAGACCTGGACGGATTAGGTTCTGCCGGAAACCCCCGGCCACGTACCAAGAGGCCTACCACACTGCATGGGAGTTTGTTGAGGCTGAAACCCAACTCCGGGCAAAGAAAGAAGCTGAGCATGGTTAGAAGCCCAAGCCGATGAAAGTCAAGAAGGAAGAAGCCCCGGGACCTAGCCAGCCAAGAAACCACTATGACCCGGTCGTCCGTGTGGTCAATACGGAAGAATGCCAAGAAATCCAGAAAGCACTGGTCATTCTTCCGGAAAACCCTACCGGTCAAACAGGGCGGCAGTGGTCGGGCACCTATTGTTCGTACCACAGGTCAGATTACCATAACACCTCCGAATGTAAAAGTTTTAAGGGGGTCATCCGACAGATGATAGACAGTGGAGAGCTGGGCAAGGATTACTTGCAGAAAGCCCAGGAGAAGAGTCATCAGTGGGTTAGGCCAACTGCCCTGGGGGATGACCGGGACAACGACCGGCGGAGGAATAGCCGGCCAAGGGAGCGGCAACCTGCTCCCGAAAAAGAACACATCGGCATGATCTTCGGCGGACCTGAGGGTGGAGATTCAGCCGCGCAGCGGAAGAACTGGGTCCGGAGCATTTACGTTGGTGAGGTAAGTGTTGAACCGCCCAGGCGTAAGCATACTAGAAGGGAGCCGATCGTCTTTACTGACCGAGTTCTCCCTCCTACCGGTGAAGATCACAATGATCCATTGGTCATCACCATGGACATTAATGGGGTGGATGTCGCCCGGGTACTTGTTGACACCGGTAGCAGTGTCAACATCTTATACCTGGAGACTTTCCCAAAACTCACGTTGTGTCGGACACAACTTGAACCCCTCAAAACTCCTCTCTCAGGCTTTACGGGGGACACCGTTGAAGCTGAAGGATCCATAGTTCTACCGGTCGAACTAGGATCAGGTGAGAAGACCGTGTGGAAGAAGATGCGGTTCATCGTTGTGGACATTAAATGCGTCCACAACGCGATCCTTGGGAGACCGGGCATCAATAAGGTCGGGGCGGTGATTTCCATGCCTCACCTGTGCATGAAGTTCCACACTCTAGGTGGCGTGGGTGAAGTGAAAGGCGACCAGAGGAATGCCCGGGAGTGCTATGCCCGGGCGGTCAAGAAGATGACCAAGGGGGTCAATGTCATCTCCCAAGAGATCACAAAGGGAGAGACACGAGAGAAATTGGAGCCCGAGGCCGAGACGGTGGAAATTGAACTTCACCCGGGTGATTCTTCGAGGATGGTCAGAATTGGAGCAAATCTCCCCGAAGATCTCAAGGCAGAAATTACACGGGTCCTCCAAGAATACGCGGGCATATTCGCATGGAGCGTGGCGGATATGCCCGGAATAGATCGCTCTATTATCTGCCACCGGTTGGCCGTGAGGGAAGGAAGTCGACCGGTACGTCAGAAGAAGCAGTACCTGGCCAGTGACCGGCGAGATTTCGTCAAAAAGGAAATGAAGGACCTCCTCAGTGTTGGTCACATCCCGGAAGTCAAATACCCGGATTGGCTAGCTAACGTTGTCCTTGCTCCCAAGGGCGACACGTGGAGAATGTGTGTGGATTATACGGACTTGAACAAGGCTTGTCCGATGGATTCGTACCCCCTTCCCAGTCCAGATCAAATGGTTGACGAAACTGCGGGGTGCGAACTCCTAAGTTTCATGGATGCCTTCAAGGGTTACCACCAGATCTACATGGCCAAGGAAGATGAAGAGAAGACGTCATTCCTCACACCCGAAAGAACCTACTGCTACCGGGTGATGGCGTTTGGCTTGAAGAACTCAGGAGCAACCTACCAACGCATGGTGAACAAACTCTTCAAGCCACTGTTGGGAAAGACCATGGAGGCATACGTCGACGACATGCTGATCAAAAGCCAGGTATCTCTCAACCACCCGGCTGATATGCGAGCCACGTTCGATATCATGGAAAAATACAATCTCCGGCTGAATCCTAAGAAATGCGTCTTCGCGGTTCGTACCGGGAAGTTCTTGGGATTCATGGTAACCAAGAGAGGAATAGAGCCCAACCCAGAGAAAATCCGGGCCATCACTGAAATGCAAGCCCCTACCTCCGTTAGGGATGTTCAAAAGTTGACCGGTCGTCTAGCGGCCCTCAGCCGGTTTCTTTCCCGGTCAGCTGAGAGATCCCTGCCCTTCTTCAAAGTTCTAAAGAAGGCCAACACATTTGCATGGGACAAAGAATGCGAGAGGGCATTTGAGGAGATGAAAGAGTACCTAGCGTCGGATATTGTATTGTCTAAACCCAAACCGGGTGAAACTCTGTATCTGTACCTGGGAATTTCCCCAAATGCTGTAAGCTCCGTTTTAATAAGAGATGATGGGGCACAAAAGCCCATTTATTATGTGAGCAAAGCACTAAACGAGGCTGAGAGTAGATATACGGCGATGGAAAAGACAGCCTATGCGCTTTTCATCTCCGCAAAAAAGTTAACATCCTACTTCCAAGCTCACCTGGTAGAAGTCTTGACTGACCAACCGCTGGGTGCAGTGTTGCGAAATTCAACATCCTCCGGGAGGATGGTGAAGTGGGCGATGATGTTAACTCAATTCACCATTGAGTACCGGCCAAGGTCGGCAATCAAGGGACAGGCCCTTGCTGACTTCCTAGTAGAAATGACCGGTCTAACTCCAGACCTACCGGTCAACAAGCCCACTGAGCAATGGTGGGAGATGGCAGTTGATGGGGCATCCGGTCCTAGAGGATACGGGGGTGGTATCGTGTTCACCACCCCAGAAGGGTTCAAGATCTACCATGCAATCGTCTTCAACTTCAAGCTGACGAATAATGAGGCAGAGTATGAAGCTCTGGCTGGAGGGCTCAGGCTTGCCCAAGCCCTGAAAATCAGCCGGGTCAGTATCAAATCTGACTTTATCCTGATCGTTGGGCAAGAGCCCGGCAACATGGAGGCAAGAGAAGGACGCATGGAACAATATACTTGCCCTGTTGAAAGGCTTCGAAGAGTTCAAGATCGCCCAAATTCCCCGGGCGGAGAACGCGGATGCAGACCTTCTCTCCAAATTGACGCAGTACGCTCCCGAGCATGTTTCAAAACTTGCCCGGGTAGAGATCCTTGACCGTGCAAGCATCGAAAAATTGAAAGTCACCGCCATAACAGCAGCAAGCCAATTTGACCGGTCAAACCTGGTCGGGGCAGACGACCATTGGATGTATGATCTGATGGAATATTTCATGGATGGGAGCTTGCCAGAACAAGATGACCCGGTAAGAAAAGTGAAGCTCAGGGCACCCCGATTCCAAGTTCTTGATGGAAAGCTGTATAAAAGGGCATTTGGGGGGCCACTCCTTAGATGTCTAACCAACCGAGAGGCTGAGCGAGTCATAGTGGAGGTCCACGAAGGCGTATGCGCGGCGCATCAAATGTCCCGTACGCTTTCCCAGCGCATCCTCCTATTGGGGTATTACTGGCCAACAATCGTCCAGGATTGTGAGAGGTACGTTCAGAAATGCAGAACGTGCCAAGTATTCTACAAGTATCTCGGTACACCGGCAACCTACTATAACCTCGTATCGAACGTCGTCCCATTCGCTAGGTTCGGGGTTGATATCATCGGAGCATTCCCAGTCGCCCAAGGAGGGAAGAAGTTCGTAATCGTAGCCATTGATTACTTCACCAAATGGATCGAGGCCGAAGCATTGGCCAACATCACCACGCAACAATGTAAGAAATTCATTTGGAAGAACATCATCACGAGGTTTGGAGCGCCCATGAACTTCATCACCGACAACGGCCCACAATTCCGAAATCCGAGGTTCACCGAATACTTGTAGGGCTTCGGAATCAAGCACAATCACTCCTCGGTAGCATACCCCCAAGGGAATGGCCAAGTCGAAAATGCCAACCGAACGATTGTGGATGGTCTAAAGAAATGGCTGGGAGAAGTAGGAAACAAGTGGCTGGAAGAGCTCCCACACATCGTATGGGCATTCCGAGTAACACCCAGGAGGGCTCATGGGGAAACTCCATTCTCCCTAACCTATGGGTGTGAAGCAAGGCTGCCCATCGAAGCTGAATTCCCAACGTTCCGGGAATCAAATTATCAACCCCAACAAAATGAAGAAGACCACTTGGCCGAGCTCAACTTGGTCGAAGAACGAAGAATGGCCGCGGAGGTTAAAATGAGTACATACCAACAAGTTGTGAAGAAGTACCATGACAACAAGGTTGGGCCGCGGTACTTCCAAGTTGGAGATGAAGTGCTACGAAGAAGAGAAGCAAGTAGACCCAGCGATGGAGGAAAGCTGGCAAAAAACTGGGAAGGCCCATACAGGGTTAAAGCCATCATTCGACCAGGAACATACCGGTTAGAAACTTTAGATGGTGTACCGATAGAAAGAACTTGGAATTCCCACCATCTTCGCAAGTTCTACAAATGATTGTAATACTA